TGATTTAAAGAAAAACATTTAAAAAGTTTCATAGACATCAAATATTTGAAGCATATTTGATCAAATTGTGCAAATCTTGTCAGTAATGAAATATTTCTAACTATTTGCATTTATAAGTAATCATGTTTGTTGGTTTAAGATTAGGGTAAAAATCTATTCGTTAAAGTTTTTAAAAATGTGAATAAACTCTAAACTGCCAAGAAAGATTGAAATTCTTTTAAAGCATTTTTTTTTCTTATAAGATGGCAAGAAAAATGCATTAGGATATTTGTCATCGTCTTTATTAGTCTTACTTCATGTAAATGGGAAACCATGTTTCCTAACAACCAGCCTAGTATTCTTTAATCGTCTCGTCTGAGCAAAGGGGACAGGGGTGTGGTGAGACCTATTTGTAACAGTCATAACATTTGGAAAGAATAAGCACAGTCAGTTCAGCTTTAACTTCTGTTTTGAAAACATGAACTTGCTCCCACACAATTACTATATTAGGGAGCAGTCTGAACTTAATTCAAATGTCCTAATTTTGCCTTTGCTTTTAGGCAGGATGTCATACCTGCAGATTCCCAATCGAGGATCAAAAATGTTGTTTTCAATATGAGGTTGGTTGCATCCACAGATGTGAAACCCAAGGGTCTGGAGGATTGGCTGTATATTTATTGAAAAAAAAATCCATGTATACGTGGATCAATGCAGCTCAAACCACGTTGTTCAAGGGTAAACTGTATATATAATGCATCGTAGAGACTGCCAGTTCACAAAAATGTTTCCTACCTTCTTTGGGCACACAGCTGTTAATGTAACCTTTGTGTGTTTGCTGTTATTAAGGCACATCTGCAGAAAATTTAGAAGTGCTAGGTCTGCAGTATATTTACAGCTGTCAGAATCCATGAGGTGATGCTCAGTCTCAAAGCACCGGTAACCCTTGCTGCCTACCAAGTTTGCAAGAGAGTCTGACCAATGTAGGTATTTCAAATAAGGTTCCTTCGTTTTGACTCAAAGTCTGGTCATAAATTAAGATTTATGAATTAATATTCAGCTGTAAAAATTTTTATGTAACTGAATAACCCAAACTGCCATTGGTCATTAAATACTCATGAATTCTTGTGAGCAGCCAACCTCTACTTTTGCGTGGCAACTCTGCAAACCTCTGGCTCACTTGGTTTTGCTGAATGCTGCTCACCTGGAACTATTTTCATTGCTCATTAGCAATCAATCAGAAGGTATTAATAGAACATTTAAAATGGGCAAACCCATTCGGCATGGCAAGGGGTGGAAGCCCAGGTCCCTGCCCTCCCACCCTCCCACCGGAGATTGCAAACAGCAGAAGAGAATGACACTCAAACCACTGTGTTCCCACCTTCTAAGTTTTTGTCACTGTTGGGTGGCAAGAGATGAGAGTGAGATAGGATAGGGAGGAAAGAGGCATAACAACAACAAAAGAGACATGAAATGAACCGTCAGTGAGATTTGGGGATTATATGCAGTAATCAGGTGTGCTATTTGAGGAATAGTTTCTACATAAGCAGAAACCTATTTAGCACGTTTGCTTCTAAATTATCATAGATCTTAAATGGTTTTAAGAAAGATCTCATTTGCCCATTATGATAAAAGCCCTAGAGGAAAAAACAAATAGAGACATTCAAATAAAAGTGCTCAAATGCCACGTAAAAGAAACGTACATTAAATTGTGCCAAGTACCACAGTGTAAGTTCTTTATTAAATCCACCCACATAACAAGCCTTCATTAAAGACAATCCCTGCCAAGTCCTACACGCTAGCATTGAACACATACTTCCCTCAGCATTCAAGAACTTTGGTTTCCATGAACCTCATACAAAGCGTCAGTATAATAAATGTTATTTAACCTGGAGGGAGGGTTTTGAGTGAGGACATCTGCAAGTACCAAGACAATACAATCTACGACAAGTCACCTCTTCTCAATAGGCTTTTCCCTTGGTTCAAAACCATTCTCCTCTTGTCCAGTATCCTAAGCAGTTACAGCCGGTCCAGAGAAGGCCCATTGGAGCCAGTCCTGTATAGCTAAGGGAGAGAGTGGCAGAGACAGGAACTGCCCCTTCCACACCCAACACTCTTGTCTCCCACAGGATCCCTAGGAAGCCAAGCTTCATCAGAAACATCTCAAATCCACAGTGTTGTCCCTGAGGGAGGGTTGGCCTAGGACAAAAGCCAACTCAGATCCCACTCCCTCCAAGTCTTGGTCACCTCGCGAGCCTAAGAGCGAAGTCTCTAGGAAGAACAAATGATCAGATCACGGCACGAACTCCCAAGGAGTGCTTCCTGGGTTTCCTTTTTCATTCTGCACAAATATGGAAGGCTTGCTTCCCAGTGTAAGAGGGTTCCCCTTCCAACGAACTGGATACCTCCATACCAAGAGCAGCCTTTTCTCGGAGCTCTGGCAATGGAGGAAATTCACAAAACTGAATTGTGAATTCAGTTTTGAAGGATACTGGTTAGATGGGATTTGATAAAGCAGAGTATGGAAAGTCTGAATTGTGCAGAAATGAAAAGTGACTCACCATCACCTCTATATTGGCATTAGACTATTGGCATTTTGTATTTTAAAAAATACCCATTTTAACTATCTTTATTGGGTAGAGTTGCTGCAAGTGGAAAAATACAGTAAATCCTAGCTTCATGTCATGGGTAGGTTTTGTAACTTGAAGACGTATAAAGAAACCAATTTTACCAGAGGCGAATGGATACAAGTAAGAGTTAAAATCCTAAGGCATCTCATCAATGTTATAATGATACAACACAAAGAAATGATGTTATTTCAGGACCTGCTGTAATTGGTTCCTCTTAATAAAGGAAAAAACTAGATAAAACGAGTCTAAAATTTTTTCCCTAATTAAATTTCTGCTGCAGTGAATTGACGAATCTGATTATTTTTCTGAAAGACCTTAGGTAAGACGGTATAGTTAACACTCTACCAGCAAATTCAGAGGAGGCTGGTGAGGAGGAGGATTTCTATTTATTAATTACTTACCAATGTGCCAGGCACTATTGTAACAGCTTTCCATTTATCATCTAATTATCCCAACGAAGCAGGTACTACTTATTAGTCTCATTTTACAGATGATGAACCACAGGCACAAATTTACAGTCTCTTGTAGTGGTCGGCATACTATGGCCTTTGGGTCCAATCTGGCCCTAAAGTTTTACTGCAACTTCCACACCCATTCCTGGCTGCTTTTGAGCTACAATGGCAGAGCTGAGCAGCTGTGACAGATCTCAGGGCCTAGAAAGCCTAAAATACTAACTATCTGTGGACTTTATAGAAAATGCCCACCAAGGCTTCATGCAAAACATGGTTAATTCATGGATAAAGAAAAAAGGGTAAGAACATTTGGACAGCTTGAAATAGAAGTTTTACTGAAACTTTCTTAGCAAATATTCTGTCTTTTATCTATATTTTTTTTCTTCTCACCACCAAAAAGGATTTATTCGGGGAAAAAGAAAGGATTGCAAATCTGGAACCTGCAGACATAGCAACCTACATGCAAGTTCACTTGACCTGCTTTCTTTCATTCATATTTTACTTTATTACTTCTCACTCAAGGTGTACCAACCAGCCCAGAAAAAGCAAGAGTGTTCACGGACTATCAGTTCAATAACTAAAGGTTTCCCTCTCAGTTTAGTGAGTTTCGATTAGGTGGAAAAGTTTCCAAAAAGCAAAAGCAAAAGAAGGGAAAGACGAAAGAAAGCTTTGACAACTATAAATTTCCTAATAGGTTGTAAAATTTTTGGCAGTTTCACAGGTATTTCTTCTCAAGTACAAATGACATCATTGTTGAAATTAAAAAAACAATTGGCTGGGCTTATTTGACATTTGGTATCACATATTGTTTTGGTTGAGCATCAATTGATTTTTCTATTTTTACTGGGAAGTTACGTCATAGCTATTTTTAGTCGGCAGTGTCTGGTTCTGTTCTTTGTGGAACTCGGCACACAATCATGCCTTAGAATTTTTTTGCTCACGCTATAAGAATGTATATATTTGGTGGGGAATGTTCTCATCAGTAAATGTCCTACTATTTTCTGAAACATTTCAGAATAAAAGTCTAAAACAGGAAGTAGGCACTAACAAATGACAGAATTTGGTATGTTACTAGGAAGCAAAGTGAATGTAGCCTTACAGTATGTCTTTAAAATATTAACATTTTCATCATTAATTGTGAATGAGTTAACATCTGTGCTATTCTGCTAAGTCTTAGTTAATCCTTCAAAATCTACCTATAAATCAAAGTCAAATTAAAAATTGAATTTCTAGAGTACGAAAGCTGGCACATAAGTGGAGCTCGATTTGCACAGTCAAATAATTTATGCAAACTTGTTCGCTGCAAAAGTGAACAGAAATTCCCAAGACAAGACAAAGCCCACAGTTTTTCTCGACCCGTCACCACTTTCCACCGAAAACAGCCTAGAACAGCAGTTCCCAAGCCTGTCTGCTTATCAGAATCACCTGGGAGCTTTCACAATTCCACCTCCAGGCCATACCTCAGGCTCATGAAATGACAGTCTCCGGAGGTGGGACCGAGGTATCAGTACTTTTGGAATCCCAGACACCAGTAGAGAGTTGTGATCAGGGCGAAGATAGCCTGATGGGTGCAGTCCAGATACACATGACACCTGCAATTCAGGAGGCCTGCAGCCCTCCTCCATCCTGACCACTCCACTATCTGCCAGGCACTCAGACCCCTGGTGCAGGAGTTGTTAGCACAACACATAGGTAAATGCACTGGTATCATCATTCTTGCTCCTAACACATAATTAATTTGTTAATGCAAACACTAAGAGGATTCTAACACAGTGAGTACTGCCTTAGGGTTTCTCTTAAGTTATGACCTGTTTAAACATTCACACCATTTCTGCATCTTAGGAGACAACACATCCCCCACAGCTGACTTTGCTTTTTATGTTGCAAGCTTATTTATCCTGCAAAACAAACTAAAAAACAGCAACACCATAGCTTGCCTTACCTCTACGATGCTTTTTAAATCTTGCACATAAGTCCTTTCTGTCTCCAGGATTTCCTGAACAACTCTGTCCACGTAGAGGAGCTTGGGGCTGGTGGCCGATTCAGCACCTGTTTTGGTGGCCCCGTGGGCCTCCACCCTCCGCTGGGCCCAGGGCTGTCTCTCGCTGCCCGTGTCTGGGCTCTGTTGCCCGGCCAGGCTCTCCCTCTGCAGCTCGCTGCTGGAAACCAGCCTGGCTGGGATCAGCTCCAGTTTGATGGCTCCTGCTTCCTTATCCTGGGGAAACAAGCCCAAGTGGCTGTTGGAAACTAAGGTCATTCGGCTGCCAAAGGAACCATGACTGTCCCGGGAAGAAGCCGAGGACGACGTGGAGCCGAAGCTGACGGGGCGGTCGCTGTCCGAGAGCTCCATCGTCTTCCGTTCTTGGCAGCGGGAATGCTTGGCTGTGGTCTTGGGATCTGGGTCTTCGGTTACAGCTAATGGCACATCAAGATGCAACTGGTGGACATCTAAATGCATTAAAGGAAAAAAGAAAAAAGGACGAGATAAGCAAGGTATTTTAAAACGACATCAAACAGAAAATGTAAAGGTTAAAACTCACTCCCAATACATGGGGTCAAAAACAAAGAGGCAGTGAGCTAGTGACAGAAGGACAGGCAGAGGTACCGTGGCAGGTGTCAGAGGTTCTAAAGCATCACCTGGGACCATGCTAGGAATGCGGTCTCCGGCACCACCAGACCTACTGAACCTCAGTCTGCATTTGGACACGATGCTGGTGCTGTGTGCACACGCGTTAGGGTTTGCGAGGCACTGCAACCATTGCCTCAGAATGGGACCACCTGGGATGACTAACGAATGCAGATTGGTCCCGGTTTTCTGAATTAGAAGCTCAGCGGTCGGGGCATCAGGAGTCTATAGCTTTAACAAGCACCACAACTGATTCTTATGGACCTAAAACGCACCCTAGGCGATTCTTATGGAAGCTTGCGAAACACTGTTCTTCATTTTGGGCATTCCACCTTAATTCCACAAAGGTTTAAGCCTCCATCCTGGGACCACTGCTACTTACTCAATGGATGCTGACAATTTGCATTTTACTAGCAAACAGCATTAGAGAAAGTGTCGCATGGTTCATATTTTTCTAATCCTGGGCAAGAAAAACCCAACTATTAAGACCCACACCCCCTTTCAAACTTAGCCGCTCACCACGTGTCTCTCAATCTCTACCTGGAAGCCGACATTCCATTGTGGTAGATAAGAAGTTACGCCGTTACAGAGCATGTCTGATTAACCACAACACCCCCCACGTAACATTAGATAACATGACAGTGGAATCATATAATTAAGTTCTTAATAAACATAGGAATTCAATTATGAGAAAATAATGTATTTTGAAAGAAACGGGGCTGCTTGTGTTTAGAAGAGGGTATGAGCAGAGAATATCTGCGAAGTCTAAAGGTTACTTAGTGCCCATAGCACTGGAATCTTGGGCCCATAAAGGTCCTGAATGAGATTTAATTGTTCCAAAGCTATTTTGGTGAAATATAAAGTTCCAAACATCTTCATTTGTAAGGCAGGATCGACATTTCCCCCCCTGATGAGGTCCCAGATTTACAGAAACAAAAAGCCTTGTAATAAACAGTGTGATTAATATCATTTTGGTTGATTGTCTTACCACCAAAATCCATGTTTACGGATTTTGTTTTAGAGAATTAGAAGAGAAACTTATGTTTGGAGAATTAGAAACTTATGTTTGGAAGGTTAAAACAAGACAAACACAATAACAAGAATATAGATTAATGATCATCTTTTAAAAGGAACATGAATTTTATTTCACTCTATAGTAAACGTCATCAAACAGCTGGTACCAATATTTCTAGAATATAAAGAATCCATCAAGTCTGCATCCCGACTTTTTCTGGAGAGTTTCTATCCGTGGCAAATATTAGTGCCAAGTTATAATGCAAATATTAAAATTAATGAATGTAAAATGCAGGAACTAACTTGGGTCAATAAGGAAGCATGGTAAGAAAGTGTGGGAAATGAGTAATTGATCAGCACAACCACTACCACGTGGTACACCACGAATTTTTAAAGCTTTTGCAATATTCTTTCTGCTTGCCCCATAACAACTTTATGGCCTATAAAACACAGATGGGTTATAGTAGTTAAAATGCACTTGCCCTAAAAAGCATGATCCAACTTGAGGGTGGCAAAAATCCAAGAAGTAGCCAGGCACTGAGGTGTGCTTGCTGCAAAGGATGCTTGCCCACATTTAGGAATGATGTTAAGAAAGTCCTGGGCAGTTCAACGTAGGAGCAGATACAAGGTTTTCTTCCTTCTGGCATCCACCATAACCATAACCATGAGGTTCATCACACTCTCACAACTGGGCATTATCTCAGAAAGTATCTGGAGACCCTTCAAGGTCCCAAGGGTCGAATGAGGCTATGAGTTGGGACCAAATATAAGCTGGCATACTGTCTATGAAGCTAGGGCACCAGAAGGCTCTCGATCAACCTCCCCCATAGATCTGCATACACTGGTTTCCAGGGCAAGTTATGGCTTTCTGGCTAGCCAGGAATCAACCTTCTCTCCAGTATAGAAAACTATATTTAATAGTTACATAACTCTTGGCAAATGCTCATTATCAGGATCGGTGAAAATGAACACAATAGAGACTCATCTGTTACTTACTTTCACTCTAGTTAGCCAGCCAATATTGGGACCTAGGAATGAAAGAGGAACAAAAAATTGGAGTGATTGTGGAGGGGTCCATGTTGGGCAGCTGGGAGTGATAGTGCCTTTCATACTTCCAGAGGCGGGGAAAATGGGGTAAAAGGGGATCGCTTCATGGCAGAGTCAAACAGCAGCATGAATTGGGCCCTGCTCCAAGGAAGGAATCACATGTTGCACTACCAGGCCATGCAGCTGATCCTTGAATTACTTAGGTTTGAACTGTGTGGGTCCACTTACACACAGATCTTTTTAAATAAATACCTGTTCTGTTTTTGATTGGGAGTCTGCAGATGCAGACTTGAGCAGCTGTGGATTTTGGTATCTGTGGGGTCCTGGAACCAATCCCCTGAAGATTCTGAGGGACAAGTTAAGTTTTGGGGAAATCAAAAGTTATGTGCAGATTTTCGACCCCCGCACTGTTCAAGGGTCAGCAGTATTCTTGGACCCTGGACCGATCAGCCCATTCCTCAGACTGCCAACCAGGCCCTTCAGAAAACAGAATATGAGCTATTTGGTGGCTGTAGTAGTTGGCCAAGTTTACTGCCCCAAATTCAACACCTTCCAAAATTACCAATGACAGGAGTGAAATATTTAAAGCTAGGCTTTAAATGGCAATAATATAAGGCTGCCTTTGCTAATGGGTAACATTTTTCATGTTATTTCATTGCTTAGGAGATAATTACAGTTTTCTCACGTAAGGAAATATACCTCATAAAAACTGTCTAGTCTTGTCCTCACCTCCTTCAAAATAATTTAAGATTTCCACCCTGTCTGGCTTATTCTTCATAATGCAACTCGCTGACTTTTAATATTTATTTCTAGTGCTGTACTGATCAACACAACAGCCAGTAGCCACATGCCGCTATTAAGCACTTGACATACAACTAGTCTGACTTGGAATGTGCTATGAGTGTAAAATGCACACCAGATTTCAAAGAATTAGTATGCTATGCAATAAAGAGTTTAAAATGCCTCATTAATAATTTTTATATTAATTACATGTTGAAATAATATTTTGGAGTAGTGGGTTAAATGAAATATCTCCTGGATGCATTCCCTTCCCTGTCTCCTCCCCCTACCCTGGCACGTATCCCCTAACCTCTAAGGGACTCCATTGAGACTTGCAACCAGGGGAACAATGGGCAGTGGTAGCACATCCCTGGCTAACCCCTGGAATCTGTCTTCAACGCCCCCTATTATCTGACTTCCCAGTGAGCTAAGGCAGCCTAGCCTAGGCTCTCCTATGACGTCTATGCCCTTCCTTGTTTCACTCTCCTAAGTATATTTTTGCTGCAGTCTATACATTCTTACTTGCTTTTCTTTAAAAAAAAAATCTCCTAAATATTCTTTTTTCTGTTTCATTTTACTCCCTTTAATGTGGCTACTAAAAATTTACCAATTATATATGTGGCTTGCATTATATTTTAGTTGGACAATGCTGATCTAGGATATTCTAGATGATTCTATGATTGTGTAAGATTTAAATTTACTTCCTTATCAATCTTTTAGATAATAATGAAAGAAGAGGTGCATATATTTCAAAATTTGCCCTTTTTTTAAAAAAAGCTCCATTCATTAGTACACAATATTGTTACGAATTGGCCAAAACGGAGTTGGGAGACAATCCATCCCTGCATCCTAGATATGGAGGTAACTGATTTCCCATGATAAGCTGAAACACGAGCCAGAACACTGCTGAGCAGGAAAGCCTTCCCCTCTTCCCCGAGTGAAAGATGTCAGCAGGTTGTACTACCATTTGGGTAATTTGATGCTTTGCTTTCCTTTCTGTTTCATCGCCTCTCTCTCTTTCTTCCCTAATCCCCGATACAGGGCTAATAATAGAGCATCTTCTACAAACTTGCCAAGCATTGCGAAGGGCCCAGGTCAGGGGGTGTTGTGACCATGAATACCCTAAAATAAGCTGCTTCCACCCACTTTGAGGGTCTTGGTCCATCTGACCCTTTGTAAACCCACAGATGGTGGTGGTGGAAGCCCAGGTCCAGGGGCTGACCGGAAGTACCATCAGCCTAAAAGCCATCAGAATAAATATTCCTTCTTGTGCCATCTTCAATTTAAGAAAAACGGTGACACAGCTACCATGTAGATACCCTTTCACATTTTACTTCATGACGGGTCCCTCTCTCTAATTTTCTTTTTTTGAAAGTGAAAGAGCTTTAACTCCATGGCTTGTGTTTGTTTGCTCTGCAAACTTCCATTATTTTAATTGCTCTCTTTTGGAACGTCACTGTCAGAATCAAACACAGCTCTTGTGGCTCTAACTTGTCTCTCGGGCTGATTTGGGGTTGAGGCAGAACTTTCCATGGCAAGTAAAGCCCAAGCTTCCTGTGACCGTGTTTACATGTTGAAGGGGGGACGGGTGGGCCCACAGCGGCCACTTCCTGTCGCAGCTCCCAAGGACAGTTTCACCAGGCAGAGCTGCACAGCAGCGACGGAGGAGGGATCAGGATTTCCAAATTCTGCTCGTTGCTATTCCAGACTACAAACACCTAACCGAGTTCCTTGGCAGGACAAGCATGAAAATCAGGAGAATTTGTTGTGCTCAAGACCAATGAATAAAATGATCTAGCTCCCTGTTACACTGCCTGCAAATTGCCCAAAGAGGGAAGGCATAAGAGAGACGAAAATATAAGCAAGAAGTGACTCTATCAGCCAGCAAAGGTCACTTAGTACAGAGCCAATCTTGGTAGGGCCTCAGAGCTATACACAACCAACTTCATGATTTAAAACAAAGAGACCCAAACATCTTTTA